CAATGCTGGATCTCGACAACTACTGGATGAACCGGATTAAAGGACCCGAGAGCCATGAGGGCACTACGAGAGTCAACAACAACTACAAAGGAATCTGACACTGAAAATAATCTTGATAATGTCTCTGTGGCTCATATGGGTACTAAGTTTCCACCTGTGTCCCCTTGTTCCAGTACCACACATGCTAAACAATCTGTCTTTTCTAGCCTGTCAATTTCGCTGAGAATTTTGTAGGTGGTGATCATGTCTCCCCTTACTCTTCTGTCTTCCAGGGACGTAAAGTTTAGCTCCCGTAGCCTTTCCTCGTAGCTCTCTCTTTTCGAAGCTCTGTAACTCTATCCTTTCGTTGCTGTGTGTGTACTCACCTATTTGTACTCACCTATTAATGCTTGCGGGGGTTGAGCTCTGGCTCTTTGGTCCCGCCTCTTAACTGTCAATTAACTGGTGTACAGATTCCTGAGCCTACTGGGCTCTATCATATCTACATTTAAGACTGTGTATGGAGTCAGCCTCCACCACATCACTGCCTAATGCATTCCACTTGTTAACTACTCTGATCCTGGAAAAAATTCTTTCAAATGCTGTGGGGACTTTTCACCTGTAGGACTTCATCACCTGTAGGCCCTCATCACCTGTATGACCTCATCACTGGTGAGGTCAAATTCCTCCAAGGTTACTTGGTTTGCCTCATTTAGTTTAGAACCAGGCTTCTCCTGGTTCTCTTGTGAAGACCTCCTGTAATCTCTTGTTGAGCTTTTCACACACCTCCGTGTCTTTCTCTGTGTATCTGTTCTCCCCTTTTCTCAATTTCATCACTTGTTCCTTCACTGCTGTTTTCCTCCTGATGTGGCTGTGGAGCAGCTTTGGTTGGGTCTTAGCTTTAATCGCGATGTCATTTTCATACTGTCTCTCTGCTTCCCTCCTCACTCTGAGGTACTCATTTCTGGCCCTCTGGTATCTCTCCCTGCTCTCTGGTGTTCTGTTATTCCTGTAGTTTCTCCGTGTTCTGTTACTCAACTGCTTCGCTACCTTACATTCCTGGTTGAGCCATGGATTCTTCTGGTGGTTTTCGTTTTTCTCCTTTTGGCCCGGGATAAACTTGTCTGCAGCTTCCTGGCACTTCTGGCTGACATAATCCAGTAGTGGGTGATTGTGTGTGTGTGTCTGTGTGTCTGTGTGCCTGTGTCTGTGCCTGTGTCTGTGTCTGTGCCTGTGCCTGTGTCTGTGCCTGTGTCTGTGCCTGTGTCTGTGTCTGTGTCTGTGCCTGTGTCTGTGTCTGTGCGTGCCCATGTGTGCGCGCGGCCAGTCAATCACCGTGGAAGGCTGGCTAAAAGAGAAAGTAACAACTCTGGAAATCATCAACAGGTAAGCCTTACCTTCCCCCCCCCCCCCCAATCGTGGAGGTGGGAGGGTGAAGCGGGCAGGCTGGAGCACCGCGGGGCTCCCACGGCTCCCACGGCTTGTCACCTACTGCACCTTGCGGCCAGTGTCCTCCCACTAAACATCAAGGAGTAATTAACTTCAGGAAAGCTCTTAGCTCTGGGACTGTGACGATGGTGGTCTTAGTCACTGCCCTCAGCGTACCTGAGGGCAGTGACTAAAATATCGTACAAAATCGTATCGTATCGTAAAAAAATTATATTTTTTTCTCTCTCTCTTTCGGGGAGTTGGTGGCTGAGCGGACAGAATACTGGACGCATTGAAATTGAAATAAGTTTATTGAGGTAAAATACACACAAAGGGATGAGGTAGCTCAAGCTATTCTCACCCCGTTCAGTACATCGTGTTAATACATACATACACACACATCACAAACAATAAACATATTACCAAACATTCTGAGAGATAAACATCTACATTTCCTACTGGACGCATGATCCTGTGGTCCCGGCTTCGATCCCGGGCGCCGGCGAGAAACGATGAGCAGAGTTTCTTTCACCCTATGTCCCTGTTACCTAGCTGTAAATAGGCACCTGGGAGTTAGTCAGCTGTCACGGGCTGCTTCCTGTGTGTGTGTGTGTGTGTGTGTGTGTGTGTGTGTGTGTGTGTGTGTGTGTGTGTGGTGTGGGGGGGGGGAAGTAGTAGTAGAAACAGTTGATTGACAGTTGAGAGGCGGGCCGAAAGAGCAGAGCTTAACCCCCGCAAGCACAACTAGGTGAATACAACTAGATGAATACACACACAGACACACTACGGGAATTAAACCTCACGTTGCTGAAAGATAGAAGAGTTAGGGGGGACATGATCACCACATACAAGATTATCAAAGGAATTAATAGGGTGGATAAATACAGGCTATTTAACACAAGGGGCACACGCACTAGAGGACACTACCAAAGAGCCAGAGCTCAACCCCCGCAAGCACAACTAGGTGAGTACACAGGTGGAAACTGAGCGCCCAAATGAGCCACAGAGATATTAGAAAGAACTTCTTTTTAGTGTCAGAGTGGTTGACAAATGGAATGCATTAGGCAGTGATGTGGTGGAGGCTGACTCCATACACAGTTTCAAGTGTAGATATGATAGAGCCCAATAGGCTCAGGAATCTGTACACCTGTTGATTGACGGTTGAGAGGCGGGACCAAAGAGCCAGAGCTCAACCCTCGCAAGCACAACGAAGTGAGTACAACTCATTGTCTGCATAGTAAATACACACACACACACACACACACACACACACACACACACACACACACACACACACACACAGGGTCAGCAAGGCGGACACGACGGTATTATCATAGCTCATATTCCACATTTCTACACCTTTTTCATATTCTTTACTCCAAAACAGTACAAAAAAGTGAGACGGGGACACCAGGAAGTGACGACGACCCTAAACAACAGTTCATTATTAAACTCAAACACAACGCAAAAGCTTAATTACTCTGTTTTTTTATGGGGTCAGTTTTGAGGTCAGTCGAAATAGTTCCTAGCTCTGACCTGCGGAAGAGAATGCTCCATTCCTTTCTTTTCTTTCCTGTCCTTTCCTTTCCTCCTTCCTTTCCTCCTTCCTTTCCTTTCTGGAGAGGGTTTTGGGACTTCTACTCCCCGAGTCCGGTCCGGTGCCCTGATCCCTTCCAAATGCTATATAGTCGTAATGGCTTGGCGCTTCCCCCCGATAGTTCCTTTCCACCCCCTCCCCCTCGTTTCCCCCCCCTTCGCTTTCCTCCGTCCCCCCTGGGTTTCCCATCCCCCCCTACCCCCGTCCTTTGTACCTCCCGTCTACCCCCCCCCCCCCCCGAGTTCTCACCATCTCCCTGTTATTTGACCTTCCCCGTCATGTTCCCGCCTGCCTCCCTCTCCCTCCCCTGTCTCTCCTTCCTTGACCTAATTCCCCACCTCACTTGTTTTTCCCCTGTCTCTTTCCTCCGGAGCCGCCGTCTTGCCGATTGTTCCCCCTCTGTGACCTCTGTCAACAGTTCTCATAGTCCCCCCTCGTGTGTCTGTCACGTCCCGTTTTCTCCTCGTGTGTCTGTCACGTCCCGTTTTCTCCTGGTGTTACTGTCCTGTTCTCGGACTTGTTCGTCGCTCGGTTATTTTACCGTCAGTTTCCCCTCTTGTCCTCGCGTCCCGTCTCAACACTCGCGATACCCGTCTTCTCTGTCTCTTCCTCTTGTCTTTGTTCCCTTCCTGTATTTGGCAACCAGGAGGCCTAGTCGACGACCGGGCCGCGGGGACGCTAAGCCCCGGAAGCATCTCAAGGTAAGGTAGGTCATTCTCGCTTTCTCATGCTTGCGTGTGTTCAGGTTATTTATAATGTGAGTGTTCTCGCCTTGCTGAACTTGCAGGGACTGGTTGGGCTTAAGCTCTTGGGTCACGCTTCATGCAACTGTAAGACCGCGTATGAGTGAGCTTGCGTGTGCGCGCGTTTGCGTGAATGCGTATATTTGTTGATTTTGATCTTGTGTTAAGACTGCAGGAAAAGAAATGGGTTTAGATTGCGTCTGGAAGTGTCGTAATATAATCACATCCGGCTCGATACGCACTTGGGGCGTATGTGCGTATACGCTCATGTATACGCTGCGACCGTCTTTTGTTCTGTTACGAATGACTCTCAGGTTTTTAAAACGTTACATGGCCAATTGAGAAAGGGGGAGAAGGGTGGGGTGGGGGGGGGGGAGGGAGGGGGGGGGAGGGAGGGGGGGGGAAAGGGGGGAATCAGGCACGCACAAAATTGTGTAGCATGAGCAGATATCAGTCATATCTGTCAAGCTGTCAAGTACGTTAGGCTACGGTTTCGCTTCATGCAGGTCGGCGTTCAATCCCCGACCGTTCACAAGTGGTTGGGCGCCATTCCTTTCCCTTCGTCCCCTCCCAAATCCTTATCCTGACCCCCCCCCCCTTCCAAGTGCTATATAGTCGTGCTATAGCTCAGTCGATTTTTACACAGCCCCGCTCCTGTGCCAGGTAAGTCCACTACGGGCTCACCATAGCCCGTGCTACTTGGAACTTTTTTCCTAGTAGCTGAATCTACAACAACATCATCATCATCAGTCGATTAAGGCAGCGTCTGGAGTCCTCTCGGACGTAGGTTCGAACCCTCGGCACAGCCTTTGTAAATTTGTTCATTAGTCGTAATGGCTTGGCACTTCCCCCCCCCCCTCATAATTCCCTACGACTGTCTCCGTGGCGACCAGAAGCGTTCTGATAGGTGGTGGTGATGTGCGGCTCGTAAAGAACTTGTTTAATCACACCAATTACAACCACGAAGTCGTGACCTCTCATACGCCGCTTACTACTTTCTAGCGTTGTGTTAGCTCGCTGGGTGAGGAAGTAGAGAATGAGAGCGACTGGGTGGTGGGAGTGGGAGGCGGGTTGGGAGGTGGGGAGGGGGATGGGGGAATAGGGGGATGGGGGAATAGGGGGGGGGAAGGCTGCCGGGACCAGGTGGAGGTATAGTCTATCACCACCCCCTTCCCTCACCTCCCCCCCCCCCCCCCCACCATATCCCCGGCAGTACCACAAACGTTTGTTACCAGCAAGTCTGCGTCAGTCCCAGCCTGACCGTGGTGAGGTGTGGAGCAAGCGTGTCCTGGGGTGTATAACTCAGTACTGTGGTACTTAACGTGGAGGTTGCTGTGGGAGGTGGACGGTACTGTGTGTGTGTGTGTCAGCGCTGTTGACACTAGCGGTCCTTCCCGTGGCGGTTGAGAATAACAAAGTGTTCGTCTTACTACCTAAAAGAAAAAAACGTTCGTATCCCATTGAATCGTAAACAAAATTCAACGTTGTTAGTGCCCAGGTGTTGATGAAGACGGTGTTTTACAGTGAACATAACGGTGTTATTTCAGTAAAGCAAAGTGTGTCAAGTCTTGAATTGCAATCAAGCAAACTATTATGATACTATTGGAAACATATGTTCTTGGACACAAATGTGTATCTATAGCCTAGTGTGTTGTCGGTAAATGCGAACGGGTGTTTTAAACATGTGTGACTGATGTGTTTTTAACATGTTAATACAAGACTAAACAGGGAATGCAACATTGTAGCAGAAACATTGTGCTACTCTTTAAATCCATCTAAAATAGTTCTCATAGCAACTATTCGAACGAGGGTACAAAATTGTATTTTTCCAGCCAACAATGTTTACATTTTGTACTATTAATTAACTTCGTAGAGGACACGAACAAAATCCAAACTTAAAAACTCCTAAGCCTAGTACAGCACCTATATTTACTATATAATAGCGTATAATCCAAGGATAATAGCGTATATTAGACCTAGGATTGTTTAAACAGATTAGTGACATTCCTGTGACTTTTGGGTTAATATAGAACGTGAACTTTTTAATTACATTTTTGAACGTTCGAATAAATAGCTGTTGTAAGTGCTGTCTGTCATTTTATGAGGCTGGGCTAATTTCAGCCGCGTTGTCAACATGTTTACCATTGATATGCATATTAATTAAGATCAGAAGAACGGGATGCGTATCCCACCAAATACACGATGAAACCACGACGTTGCTACAACCTTCTTAGTTGTAACAACTTCTAACTACCTGTAACACCTTCTAAATTTGCTGTAACACCTTCTGACATGTTGTAACAACCTTTTAAGTTGAACAAACCACAAGGGCCGTGGCGAGGGTTCGAACCTATGTCCGAGAGGATCCCAAACGCTGCTTTAATCGACTGAGCCACGACATGGTATAAAAATTGCAACAACCTTCCAAGTTGTTGTAACAACCTCTTATCAAGTCATAAAAGCTTTATATAACAAGGTGACAACGGGAGACGTTATGTGTTTGCAGATTATGCCCTGGGAAGTATAGAGATAGTTAAATCTCGGCCATTGTCATATTTTTTTATAGAGTTCACGTTTTCGTATTTTTCATGTCTTTATATTCAAAGTAGTTGCAGTGTTGACGTTAGTGAAAAGTGGATTGATAGTACGAAATCTCAAATCCAGGCGATTGGAGGGTCCTCCTTGCCCGACCATTTGAAAGCAGCCTGACATTAACGTTATATGACCTTGCTCCAGACTTGTTTATAACGAGTACTGGAACTCCAAGGCGGATGGCGCGCGTGGGTCACAGTCTGAGTCAACCTGGCGAGTGACTCATCACGTTGTTGAGGTATAAAGGTTTACCCAACAGGGCAAGAGCCTCCTCATCTCTCCCCCCCCCCCCTCGGCGTCGCGTGACTGGGGTCCCCGTGGCGTCAGCGCTCACCAATTCAGCTTGTCAACAGGATGCGTGGCGTCACATTATTTTTGTAGATGTATATATATATATACTTTGAGACTGACCGGTGTTGGTGATATCGCTGGGGAAAACAAACATGGCCCCTCAGCCCTATCACCGAAAGGGCCGTAATTAGCCGAAATTTGAGTTTTTAAGCTTAAGGAAAACTGATATTTGCGTCATTGGGGTCAAACATATGTGGTTGACGACGCTTACAGCTCTCCACCTTCCATGAAGCCACGTGTAAACCAGTAATCTATCCATCTATCCATCCATCCCTGTGCTCACTAGTGGGTACCCGAGAAGGTCATCCCAAATGCCTTCTCTAGTCCCTCACGTTCACAGACTTCAGTGCCTCCTGCTACTTTTAGCGTTTTAAGTAAATACGGAAAACCCCGCACCGTTCTGATTATCTGAGTTGCTGCTGTTGTGTTCCAGCTTGAGCCACACTAGTCCAGTGTTGGTAAGGTCGGGAGAAAGCGCTTAGCGAGTATGACAGGGCCAGTGTAGCACTTGATAGTGACAGGATAGACTGAGTGTGTGGTTGTGGTGACCAGCAGTTGGGAGATTATTGATTAGTGTAGCCTTGGATTATTGTCACCACTGGAGCGGAGATATTGATCAGTGTTGAAGGCTACCATTATAGCTACCGTGGGGAGCGGTATCCTCGGTAGTAGTAACGTGTTTTGTTGGTGGCGGGAGTCGGTATAGCACCCCGGCGCAGGTGGGGGCGGGAGTCGGTATAGCACCCCGGCGCAGGTGGGGGCGGGAGTCGGTATAGCACCCCGGCGCAGGTGGTGGCGGGAGTCGGTATAGCACCCCGGCGCAGGTGGGGGCGGGAGTCGGTATAGCACCCCGGCGCAGGTGGGGGCGGGAGTCGGTATAGCACCCCGGCGCAGGTGGTGGCGGGAGTCGGTATAGCACCCCGGCGCAGGTGGTGGCGGGAGTCGGTTGCGTCCCGGCGCAGGTGGTGGCGGGAGTCGGTTGCGTCCCGGCGCAGGTGGTGGCGGGAGTCGGTTGCGTCCCGGCGCAGGTGGTGGCGGGAGTCGGTTGCGTCCCGGCGCAGGTGGTGGCGGGAGTCAGTTGCACCCCGGCGCAGGTGGTGGCGTCAGCTCAAGGTTACTGTTCTCCATAACAGCCTCCCTACACTCAATTTTCTCCGAATTGCTCGTGCCGAGATCCTTTCTCTGTATCTCGACCACTACCATCACCACCACCACTACCACTACCACCACTACCATCACCACCACCACCACCACCACCACAACCACCACCACCAGAACCATCATATACGAGGTTATTTGCTCGTAATCAACCGAAGAAGGCCAAGATAGCCGTAATTCCCGCATGTAATAAGCGCACGAGATGTACTGGCCTTGCTAGTCATGCTAATTCATTATTTAAGGACTCCTGATTGGCCAATCGTCCTGTGGAAAAGGTGAAATGAGCTGAAAATGTTAGGAGCAGGCGGCTGAGGTTACTGTGAGACCTTGAGGCCAGGAGAGAAGCTCTCTGCACTCCACCCGGGAAACGGATACGTCTCTCAACTTTTTCATCTTAATCGAAAACGTATTTGATCTTAGGAAGGCAAGTTCTGCGAGTTTGTCTGACGTCACAGGGTCGATCTTTTTATGAAATGATTCTGAGAAAACGTTTGCAATTATGTGACGTGGGAAACTATTTTGTAAAAATTTTATGTTCTTTTAATTCATGTTTAGGATCTTTCCACAACGCTTTTGTTTACGTATAAAGAGTGAATGGTTACTTGGAGTTGGTTCCGAGGGTTCTTCTAGTCCCTACTCGGCCTGGGGCCAGACTTGTAATAAGTTAGTATAAAAGGCTATTGCTTGGAGCGGCCCTCAGCCCCACATATCCACCACAACACTGTTGGTCGGCCACTTCCTGCAAGAACTTGCCTACTTCAACCCGCTGACGTCAAACAAAAAGTAGCAGTGAATCCAAAATCCAGACGCCTAGTGTCATTGCACTGCGTGTACATGCGTACATAATTGAGCTTCAAGAAATACCTCGACATTGGAAATAAGTTGACTTATAATTAAGCCTCCTCAGTTTGTTGTTTTTGCCTGAGAATTCATATCTGGGAGTGAGTCGAGCCTGGCCTCGGGCTGTCCTCAGGCCGGGCTTTGGGAGTAGAACAATTCCCTGAACCCCATCAAGCAGTAGTGTTGGGAGGGGAGGTGATGGTGGGGTGTATAGGGAGGGAGCCTAGTCCAGGACAATGTAGGATGCTGCCTCCAAGAGCCTTCCGTACACAGAACAAAATACAAGGAAGATTGATATCATTTTGGTCGTAATTTTTTTTTTTTAACGCTGTATATTTTCCTCCTTCTGGTAATAGCTTTTGTAGAATTGCTCCGTTGTACTAGGATGTCTCAAAGATTTCATTGTCATTTGACTTTTCATTATACATGATAGTCGTTACCTGTCCATTGGCTATCGGGAATATTTTAATAAAAAGAAAAATCCAAAGACCGTCATTGATTCTGCTTAGAAGTTAAATCATCGGTTTCTTGAGTTTCTTCTGTAATTTTAAAAACTATTTTTTTTACATTTAAACATGTACCCGCAGTAGATATTTTGTTGTGAATATGAAGTTTTCTTTATTTTTCTTGAAGGAATGCACCCGCAACTCATTGTACCTCTGGGATTGAGGTAATGAAAGTTGATGTGTTGGTGCAGGAAGTGGTGCTGGGGAGTCTTGTGGCGGAGGGGGGTGGTGGTGTGCGGTCAGGGGATGTGGGGGTGAGAGGGGGGTGGTGAAGCTGGAAGCCTGACCACACTGCAGGCTCACTCTGGACATTGTGGAAGGAAGGGGAAGTGGGAGAGGCCGTTCCAGGACGCCTCGCCACACTGCAGGCTCACTCTGGACATTGTGGAAGGGAGGGGAAGTGGGAGAGGCCGTTCCAGGACGCCTCGCCACACTGTAGGCTCACTCTGGACATTGTGGAAGGGGGAGAAGTGGGAGAGGCCGTTCCAGGACGCCTCGCCACACTGCAGGCTGATTCTGGACATTGTGGAAGGAAGGGGAAGTGGGAGAGGCCGTTCCAGGACGCCTCGCCACACTGTAGGCTCACTGGACATTGTGGAAGGAAGGGGAAGTGGGAGACACGCCTCGCCACACTGCATGCTCACTCTGGAATTGTGGAGGAAGGGGAAGTGGGAGAGGCCGTTCCAGGACGCCTCGCCACACTGCAGGCTCACTCTGGACATTGTGGAAGGGAGGGGAAGTGGGAGAGGCCGTTCCAGGACGCCTCGCCACACTGCAGGCTCACTCTGGACATTGTGGAAGGAAGGGGAAGTGGGAGAGGCCGTTCCAGGACGCCTCGCCACACTGCAGGCTCACTCTGGACATTGTGGAAGGGAGGGGAAGTGGGAGAGGCCGTTCCAGGACGCCTCGCCACACTGCAGGCTCACTCTGGACATTGTGGAAGGGAGGGGAAGTGGGAGAGGCCGTTCCAGGACGCCTCGCCACACTGCAGGCTCACTCTG